TTCATGCTACCAGCACATATGCGAAAGAAACTGATCTTATCGAAATTTTATTATTATAATATTAGTTGAATATTGATCAAATAGCATAGAAAAATAGAGCAAAAGACGCTCTATCTGTTCATTAAAAGAGAAATGTTTTTGAAGCTCTCCTTAAGAAAATAAAGTACCTCCCTCACTACTTTTGGATTGCCCTAAGTAGTTTTACTGCTAAGCATTGGCTCCTGTATGCTTATACATTGTTAACAAGAAATGTACAGAAATGCTTAAAATTTATCTTTCATTCTTAACTATCGATAATTTTACGAATCAATTAATGAAAGCCACTTGTTTTAGTACACGCGATTGAATATGCATGCTGACGATATCCATTGGCATAATTCACAACGCCAGCAACACACCATCGCTCATTTTTATTATAAAACTAGCAGAATTACCCGGCGTTGCCCGGGTTCTTGAACAAAGAAGTAATTGACTTTTTTTGATGTTATTAAAGTTTTTCTTCAATTCATGTTATCAAAGCATAAGAATTTGTTTAACAAAAATTAATAAAAAAACCAGACTTAGTCTTCGCTTGAAGCTTGGTAGTAATGTTGGTAGGAATGTTTTTCCACATGACTAAATATATGTACGTCCATCACACTGCCACGTGATTATATGTATGTACGTCCATCACACTCATTAGTCACTATGTGGATGTACGTCCGTCACACTCATCAGTGATTATATGTACATTTTTAAGTAACTCGGTTCCAGGTTGATTGATTTTAATGAAATTTTAGCGACTTATCGTAGATTTTGACCAAGAAATAGTGTGCAAAATTTCGTCATTCTAGACCTTACCATTTGGGTGTGCATTCTGAGACAGACAGACAGAATGACAAACATTGCGGAATATAGTATAGATAAACCACCACTCCTACCGCCTTGACATGATCTAAAAATCATGCAGTCGTACAATGGATCTAAAGGAAATGACACAATAAAAGACCCGTGTCTTTTATTCTGCTCTTAAAAATAAAGATTTCAGGGAGATCTGCTATTATGTTCAAAAAAGGAAGCTGTTTTTCAAGTTCATGCTTTGAACAAATTTGAATTCTGTCTCAGTTATTACACAGTATTACGAGTCGATGTGAGACAAACAGTTATGAGAGAATGGGAGGATACTGATCATTACACGTTTTTTCTTTCATTCGGCTCACACATTTGTTGTCACATGTATTGTAGTTTTTATAGCTAATGAAGGAAATAGAAAAGATATATTTTTCATGTTATCACATGCACAGGATGACCCTTTCTCGCTTTTCCACGCGCACATTTATGTGTGCTCAGTAGGAGAGAGAATTTACTTTCAATAGAAAATATTTATTATGAATTTTACAAGACTTACAGGTAAAAAACTGAAAAATAGGGGGGCTTTTATTTCAATTTTTAAAAGATGAGCTCAAGAGGGGTCTTCCGATAAGGGGGAGAGGCGGGTTATTGTGTGAAGATCTTGTAATGTATCTACCTCTTTAGTTGAAAGAAAATTACGAAAAAATAAATACAAATCCGTGATTGCTAATGGAAAAACTATTTGGTACCGTGCAGATTTGCTCTTGTTGGGTATAAGCAAAATGCATTGAACAATTACTAATTACACGTACACTAGCCTGTAACGTAAAACGTCACTTGAACTATCCCATACGTTTTATGTTTACCATGTACCTATGAAGAAAGTGTTTTTTATGTTTTGTAGGCGATACAATGTGTTTCAGTAGCAGCTTTTTTTCGCATTTTTTCTGTAGAAAAAAATTTCTATGTGCTATGTAAAATCATCGGTTTTGTTCTTCCTTTTTTGTTCAGTGTACGAAATAGACGATTATTAACGGATGTTTCGTTGATTACCGATTTTTTGGCTGGAAGTGGCGGTGGCTTTGGTATTCAAAATTCGTGTGACAGAAGAAAAAAGGTAAAGACAAAAAAGAAGCATCGACTAATGAAGGTTAGGCGCTGGAATCATCATCTATACGTCAATCACAAGTTTAATCAGATTATTGTATCGGTGTTCCCATATGTTCCCAACTAAGCTACATTTTTAATTTTCCGCACCAAGGCATGTTTTAAATTGGGTATCCCAGTCGGGAAATCGAAAAATATAAACCAAACTGCTTTTCTCAACAGAGATATATTTGATAAAATATAGGTGCGTACGAACTATTGGTGATGTGATTTTATTTGTAAAAGAACTCCAGGAGCTGTATCAACAATATTATATAAAGAAAACTTATTAATTCAATCGTTTGCTGGACACTAGACGTGCATCATACATACATAAGTCGTCTTGCTAAGGTCAAAGATGTCTGCAGGGAAATTACTCCTTAAATTATAATATTGTTGTTTTAGATGCTAGTGTGAATAAGTACATAAATAATCCGACGCAAGGTCACGCATGATTTTAGAAAATGTAACAAGACGACACAGTTGAAAATGATCGCTTAATTTAATCCAACCCAAAACACTCAGAGCATTATCCCCTGAAGATCCTTTTATAGCTCTAAGTACAGCTACACTTAAATCAACTTTGACAGTTTCTACTTTAAGTCACAATTCTGTATATGCCAGCAAGAATTCGGGTTTAAGCGGAGACAGTGGTGGCGCGAAGTTTCGGTAACAAGGTCCCACAATCGGAGACGTTCATCAGAAATTTCTCGATACAACCTGGTGGCGCCGCCACCCGGTGCAGAGCTCCTAAGGAATTTCCACTGCATAGAAAATCAAAAAGGGATTTCTACTTTCATGGGAATTACTTATGGGTATGCAACGACGATTTTCTAGATTGTTGGAAATTTGATTTTCTATAAACTGGAAAATCCTCAAGGAATTCCCATAGGTACTCTTTAAAATTCGTCGAGCAGTTTTCATACATAATTTTCAACCTTACAGTGTACGTCCTTTTATGCTTCGATTGAGAGAAATTTAATTCGAAAGCAAGTACAAGGCAGGTGAATAAATTTGTTGAGTGCTCATCTGAAATCTCTTAACAGACTAAAACTAATATGACCATATTTCTTTGAACAGGAATACAGATTGCTTCGGAACTACTTTTCAACGTAACTTATTTGTCTCCATGAAAGTCATTTGTTTAATAAAATGTTGTTCTTCTTTTATTACTAAGTTCTTGACCAATTTTCAACGACCAACTTTTGTTCAACCTTTTTTCTTTAGACCAGTTTTCACTTTCTCTATTCATATATACCCTTTTCCATTTATATATTCTTTTATAAAAGTTGTTTTTTCTTTCTGAACCAAACGTTACAACCTCTTTGTTTATGTTTTCTATTCTCTAATAATATTGGAAAACCATTTTCACCTTCTGGTATAATAAATCTTGAGCCAACGATGTCAAGAAATTCTTCACCATCGTCGACTGGCCATCCTAATATTTCTGCAGAATATTCTTCGTTATTCAGTAATATTGCTATATAATCTTTCTGCAAGTTGTAAAAGATGTTTAATCCAATTCGTTCATCCTTCACACCTAAGTAGAAAATTTAAAAGATGGAAAGAAGACGTGAGCTAACTTATCTGCTTAATCAGATTGCAATCAGGCGTTCTAGATGTTACCATAAAGCATGCATGTATCTTCGCAATCAAAAATCTCAAAAAATCTGAAACCCGCCCACAATGTTGAACTTGGTAACGATATTTGACATAAAGTCGAAAATTTTGTTATGGCTACTATATACTCCCAATCTCCAACTGAAGAACCACTTGCGTGTGAGTACAGTAGATGATGCATTGAAAGGCTCAGATCCCAGTGTGATTAACTTTCAAGAGTTATCAAATTGAAGCAAAACTACACTTAAGGCTTTAAGTCATGATTAGTAATGGCATACGTGTAAAAGTATCATTGAAAATAGTTTGACGATCAGAAGTGACATCATTACTGAGAACTCTGACTCCGTGTGAAAAATAAAGTTGACATATTTTTTTCAGGCTTTTAAACTTGACTGGAACCTTCAAACATCGAAAAGCTATAAGTTTTGTTCCTGAAGTCGAATTAATGAAAAAAGAAAGCCATTTTGTAGAGAATTTAATTTTCTATTGAATGCTGTCACTTTTAAATTTTTTTAGAAGCGTTTCTAGGTCAAAACTTTAAAAGTAAAGTTTATAAAAATTATACATTAAAATTATTTCACAACATTTGTATTTTTATTTGCTAAGCAGGTCGGTCAGAAGGTAATCAACAAGAAAAACTGCATCAAGTGATGTACTCATATCGGTTCTCGGATAACAAAAACTATTTAAAAACTTAATCAGCAAAGTGTCGTTTTACGTGGTCAAGCCGTTGATGTGTCGAAGTCAAAAGGGACTCTGAAACCCAAGGGGGAAAAGGCGGATCCGGGATCCATGCGGACCTACGCGGATCCACGCGAATACAATTTTATTGAACTGAACTGTCTCAGAAATCTCTGTTCCCACAAGCAAAACAAAAATGTTCTGTCTGTGGGAAAAGAATTCACAGAACAGAACACAATTGTCCCGTTATCCAGGAAATTCTCCCAACAAAAGAACCGGACTGTTCTGTTTCGGAAACACGATTGTCCTGTTTCACGACTCCGACTGTTCTGTTTTGGGAACAGGATTGTGCTGTTTTAGCGAAAGAATATTGTGACGGATCTGTGGGAATCTTTGCGAATCCGTAGGAATCTTTGCAGACCCGTGGAGATCTTCGCGGATTCGTGGGGACCTTGGCGGATCTACGGGGATTCCGGATCCGCGGATCCGCCTTTTCCCCCTTGCTGAAGCCTCACCGTTGAGTCATTCAGGAGAACCGAGTGAACTATAAGAGCATATGTAACTTACGAGCAGTTTTATTGTTTTAATTAGCTACCTTCAAATACACAAACGATTTTTGACAAAGCAAGTTTTGTAAAGAATAGTAATTTTTCGACTTGCAACTATTTTGAAATAATTGTATCTCTTCAAGGAAGCAAGTCAAGCACTTCTTGCCTTCAAGTTTACAGCAAATTATTCGAAGTGAACTTGAAAACTGTTAGTTCATGCTGCTATTATAAGTTCAAATACTTTATCCTACCTAGTTTTTCCCAGTCATGGTTTATTATTTCAATAATAAAATGTTCCACACGTTTTCGTGCTAACAATTTCTGAGAACTTAATAATACTCCTATCTCAGCACCCTCTGTATCGATTTTAAATATTAATATTTTCTTATACGATCGAATTTGAGCTAATGAATCAATTGATACCGACTGAACTGTTTTATCTTTGACTTGTTGAGTTGTCTGATTCTTCGTCCTCCGAGACGCGTCCACGGACATGTATCCAACATCACATAAATCGTTGCTTATTCTGAGTTTTCTTCGTTCAAACCAAACAGCATTTTCATATGATTTCCATTGATTAGTAAATTTGTTTATTAATCTTAAACACCAAGAACTTCTAGTAGTACTACTTTGCCACTAGATTATCCTTCAGCCTATATGAACTGATCTCCTTTTGAAGATAAGGTAAACTCGTATTTTTTTTGGAATGACTTTCAACTGTTGATAGAGAGAGATAAGTGGTGTTCTTCGGGACACGTATCTTCCTAAGGAGAAACAAAAGTTCAAAATCAAACCCAATCAAAGACTGACTACATCTAATGTTTTTAGGCATGCACCAATACCAATCATTATTGAAGATATTGTACAACATTATTGGCTGTCCAATTATATTGGGTCTCAATATTATATTATATCACCCATAATATTGTACAATAATATTGGGTAATGTTGAATTCCCCAATACACTGATCATACTTTTAACCTTAATATCATTTATATTCATAAAAACGTGAGAAAGCAAATCCCAATCGAGCTGTATGTGCTAATTCGGATATAAAAATGTATCGCGATTGGGATTAGGTATGCATCGATTAATAATCGAAGTTAGGGCATCCAGCACAGTCGTTCCGCATCAGTTATAAAAAAGCAGTTAGAGTTGCCGAATAGGGGTAGGAGAGTTCCAGTTACTATAGTTCTTAAGAACAGGTAGAAAGAATTGGTCACCAGTTCAGTTCCTGTTGAGCGGGAACTGCTACCAGTTCTTTTCAAGAATTCAAAATAAAATAAACCAATGTAGCAGTTATACTGACTTGGTTTAGTCAAGTAAACACACTATCTACTCTGGCGTATTACACAAAATCCATGTAAGCAAGGTCACCGATTTTATTTCAACTTTACTTTTTTGAAAAGAACTGGTATCAGTTCCCCTTCAAAAAAACTGAACTGGAACAGTCCCATCTCTACTGCTGAATGGCTCAATGTTTGCTCTACTAAACTGAAGTGCAGGAATATTGCAGTGTTATCTGTGATAGAAATATAAGCACCAAAACTGAGCAAAATTGCGAAAAAATAATCGATCATCGATTGTCTTTCTGCGATCTTAGTGCGTTTTCGATGTACCATATTTTCGCTATATATGACATTAAAATTTTACTGACACTTCGGTTTGGTAGAGTAAACAATTTTCTACATAATGAGACATTCGGCAGGTCTAAGTGCTTTTTTATAATTGATTCGGAACGACTATGCTGAATGCCGTAACATCGATTATGAATCGGTGGATGCCTGATTGGGTTATATTTTGATTCAAAACAGGATATAGACCATGCGTCTGTACTGTAAAAGTAGACTGAACTGAAGCGACCCAATACTAATAATATCGTGAAAACCCAATATATTGGGTGATCAATATTCCTGCAGCCGAGTCTATTATATTGGTGCATGCCTGGATGTTTCCGGTTGTTACAAAATGCACCTATATACACCTTATACCTCAGATGGACAAAATAGTCTCAAAAGTCTAAATAATGTTATTAGATTTAACTATAAGAAAGCGTTTGCATGAATACCTTGATAAATTATAAAGTTCATGGCATCTAGCTTGTGGATCAAAACTGATTACATTACAGTTAAATGCAGAAACCAATAAAGAATAATAGCCTGCATTCATACCAACGTCCAAAATAACATTATTTTCTCGACATTTGTTATTTTTCAATATGAACAAGAATATAGCATTGATTTCTGGTTCTTTCTCCACAAATCCCTGTTGAACCATTAAAAATTTGATGCTCGGTGAATGTTCGATTGTGGCAATAACAGTTGGCAACTCCTAGTAAGAGCAAACATAAAACTTATCAACAGTAATACTATGAATTTCATAGTATCACAGTATCATAGTATGAGTTTCACACTGAAGAAGTAGTGCAATGCTGTCTGGTAACTCACTCTCATGCTGTCCGCCCCCCACTCTCCCTGTGGCCCTGCGTAGTCAGCTATGATAGTGTGACCTATTGAACTGTTATTGTGATAGATACTGTGATACTATGAAAATGTGTGGTATTGTTATGATAAACCCGTACTATGAATTCATGTTTATACGATAGAGCTCCACTATAGCAATTGACAGGTATGATTAAATCAGAGCTAGAGGAAGTCGTATTTTGAAAGCAAAAGTATGTTAGCGCACTTTATCATCATGTGAGTAATTCAATATCGAGATTTTAAAAGAGTTTGTACGAAGTACGAAATTCTTTGAGTACACTATCTTTCTCCGCCATGCTTTCTGCATTCTAAAACTGAGGCGAGTTCCTAGCTTAGTCAGTTACTTATAACTAGGTATGCATCCTCACCACTTTCTCGATTTCGGTTCCTGGTATTATAGACAAGTGCTATCTTTTACCTGGTTGTGTGGTGGTAATGGTGAAATTTCATCATGGGGAGGAGCCGTTGACAGAATAGGAGTTTCGGCAGGATCCGTTGACAAAATAGGAGTTTCGGAAGGATCCATTGATAAAGTAGGAGTTTCGGGAGGATCTGTGGGCGAAATAGGATAAACCGTTTCTAATTCCTTGATTGAATAATTTTTAATAAATAAAACAACTACTAATATTAGAAAACCAAGGAGAAATACAGCTTTTTTTTTAAGCAACTCAATAATAAGAACACTGATGGGACTATTTGTCCTCGCATCGAGTTGCTTCTTCATGCTATAGTGGAGCCGCTGCAATCAGATTACTCAGTTCAAAATGAGATCTTTCTATCTGAACGCATACATCTAAAATAAATACAAAGTCATATGAATAAAATCAAAACTCTTCTTCTAAAATAAGAAACATTTTTAACATTATGATTTTCAAGAAACCCCTATCCGTTTCCATTGAGTGTTTTATAGTTTCTAGAAAATTATGCCTCCAAGAGAAGGAAAAGCTCTTAGAATGATCCCGTTTTAACAGAGTGATGGTGTCAAAAATCCTACTTAAGAAATATATTTCTATTTTGCTGCTCAGACAATTGTTGGAATAATAGGCGATTTAGACTGATGCCTGTTGTGACACCGAATACCTGATGAAAGTTAGGATAGACTTTCACTAACTATTCGTTGTCTTAAATAGCTTAATAGAACATCGATAAGGCATAGATTCTCATTCTAGTCAATATACATCGTAGAAAATGTTGCTTAGAAAGCGTGCTTTGATCTATTGTGATTGAAATGGGCATGTATGTAAGAGTCGACGTAGATGAGAAAGTGTCACAGTTGAATGAATACATGTGATAAAGGAAGGATGTTATATTATCACTGACTTTTGATGCTGTTACATTTCTAAATCGCTCAACCGCGTTACTTATGGCCAACGGCTTATCATTCAGCATTTGTACATGACTACAAAAGGATCATCGTGTAAAGACGAGTGTTAACTGACCAAGGCGTACAATGAACAGGATTGAAAGGTCAAAGTAGGGACGAGATCCAGGGCACAATGTTGCTTTTCTAAGCAGTGAAGTAATTCATAATTTCATACAATATTCGATGAGCCCCTTGACTATTGGAAGTAGTTTTCCAATATAATATTTTTCCGACATTATCAATAGCTGGAGTTAGATAAGGTGCCGATAAATTCAAAGTTGCAGCAAAATGTTTTTGTCATTTTATTAAATATCATCTCTGATCTCATAAAAAAATAGCAGAGATCAAACAACTGATTTGAAGGTTCGCTTTAGGTGGGTGTGTAATTTCAAGTAACGCCGTCGATTCGTCGGTAAACCCGTGCAGAGTATCGCTAAATAAAGATTGGTTAACTCTAATTAATACTAAATATTTCTCTATCTCATTCTATTTGGTTTGACCTGAGAAGCAAAAAATGTCACTGATTCATTATTCTTAAAATCTTGATTTTTTCGGTGAGAAAAAGTGTACGAGCAATTATGTTTTTTACAGAAAAGTATAAAAAGTGGCCGAGACGATATTTTCATGTAAAAATTTAGATTCACCACTATTTCTGCTTGATTTGAACTTGATTTGAGGCGTTTCTATAAAAGAAACTAAATTTAGAATAAAATTTGTTCTATCTGTTATTCGGTGTTCTTATGTATCGTCTATATAAAAGAGAAAACACGACAAAATGTGCGCGTGGAAAGGAGAGAGAAAAAGAAAAAAAGTACCAGAACAAGAAAAATGCCTAAATCTACTATAAGAAATCGCAAAGACCGTGGCGACCCTATCAGAAACTCAGAATAGAATTATAAGAAGCCCGCTGTCGGATTCACCGTGAAATTCTGCATATATTGCCTTAGTTTGAACTAATTTGATGCAGCGCGGCAAAACTACCTAATTTTCTAATGTAAAGTGGAATGAAAAGGAGGTTTCTGAAGATGTCCTAAAAAACCTTGACCGCGTGGTATTCAAATCATGCCAAACGCCTACGTTTGTTCAGTCGATTTGTGACATATTATCCGTTTTCGTTCAATTTAGTATTCAAAAATTCAGGGTTTTTCGTGCTCGTCTACCTTTTAATCGTCTCCACGCTAATACACTTCTTCCATTACTTATATGGTTAAGAACTTACAACACAAATGATGTTTTAAGTATTATTTTTAAAGTATCTGTGTACAAAATAATTCGACGAATATCACCGCCTGGTGACGAATATCACGTTTCAAAAACTTTAAAACAATGGCATGCTGACCATCCAGACCTGTGGAGATCCCATTTCCCAGCAGAATTGTCCTTTTGTGGGCATTTTCATCATTTTTAGTGAAACACTTTCATAAGCTGGTACCGTCAGATTAGATTCTATATGTGCAGAGCTACAGAATCACTAGCGGACAAAAAGTTCCGAAATGTTAACCACGTTCTCAGGAAAATATTTAAAAATCTCGTTTTTTCCGTGGTAAAGTGATTCGCATTGCGAATAGAAAACGTTTGATGATAGAAGAAAACAGCTTTTCAAGCCGATTTTCCTCATTTTTCAAAAGTTTGAGTAGGTGCTCAGAAAACTATACATACCATGTTAGTAATTTTGTTGCATGCGTAGGTGGTCCGAACGTTACCCCACAAAATTATGCAAGTCTCAGCTGTCCAGCTATCGTCGTTCGGACAGGGCTTTTCCCGAGCGCGTGTCTATCTCCTAATGAAACTTTCAGACAGAACTGAAAAGGCGTCATATACTGTTGATCAAGTCGAAAAGATGGTTCAGCAGTACACTGAGGCTTTGAGGTTTTTTAGCAGGCTTCTGGAAAACTCTAAATCAATGCCCAGCTGAAATTCTTTTTTTACGTGTTCAATTATGATTTATGAGCTGTCCTGAGCGTTTCCTGAAAGGTTTCTTGGGTCAGTATGAGATTTGACCTAGATATAAGGATTTTAATTTTTGCTAGTAACACGAGAAAAACCGGTTTTTCATAAAAATGCCTCTAATGAAGTTATTTTCATTTCTACATAAAAGTAAATGCTGTTACTATGCTCAGCGTAGTCGATTACCTATATTCCATGGCATTTCGAGATTCTCAGAAATATCTTCTCGGAGATAGACACGCGCTCAGAGAAAGCCCTGTCCGAACCACGCTAGCTGGAGAGCTGAGATCTGCATAATTTTGTGGAGTAATCTACGCGTGCAACAAAATTACTAACATTGTATGTATAGTTTTCTGAGAATGGAGCTGCGAAAGATTCTCTAGATAATCGGACTTTGTGAAAATGTTGGAACATTTTCTGCTTACAAAAACATGTCTTAGGGTCTTAGCAACACGATGGTGAAAATCGCAGGTCGCTATCTGTCAGTGTGATTGAATTATTTCGAAAGTAACCGATGGCATTGTATTTTGGGACGGATAGTGGGTTAAACTCTATCTTTTCTTTAAAATTATTTATATCGTTCCGCGTTAAATTAATGTCAAATTTTTCATTTATTATTTTTCAATCATTATATGTTGAAGAATTCGCTGTGATCAGCGTTTCACATAACTGTGTATCCTTGGTTATTTTCTTCTAAGCCCTTATTCTTTGTGAATAATTTTAATAAATTTTCTCATCTATCGGATGATTATGAGTTAAAGTTTTATTATCTATAAAAATAATTTTATTTAGTTCCGTATTATGTTTTATTTTAAAATGGAACTCGCAATCAGTTCGCGCTAATTCTTGATTTGATCTTGATTCATCCTTGATATTTCTTCTAACAGAGCCGCTATGATGACATACATACTTTACATTTTCGTATCGAAAACGATCAAACAATTCTTTCATTATTTTTTTATTATGTTTCATTGAAGAGTGTTTAATATACACTGGCTAATAGTATTTACCACACCAATTTTTAAAATCTTTTTCAAAATGCAACCAATTGTCGAATTGCTTTGCAAAGCAGAATCTTTGTCTTGCTCCATTTTTTTTGTTGAAGAATTACGATAAACTACTTATTCACTGTTGTGCGTTGAATCAAGGGTCAACAATAACAGACTAGTATGAGCTTATCCTTGAATGCGAATAAAATAGTTAGATTTAAGTATAATAGACCTTTTAATGATATAATAATATTTATTTATTATTATAAATGAGATTCTAATAAATCGGTCCATTTGATTCTAAAAATTATCAATTTATTTCGTTTGATTTGAAGTACCAAATGAAAAGATTAAAGTGAAGATTAGAAAGATTAACGACTATAAATTTATATAAAGATATAAAGTGATTAATTTTGTTTTAAGTTCAATAAATTGCACATGTGAAATTCAAGATAAGTAAGATAGTCAATTATATTGTCTATTAATACTGTACTTGAGTGCACATAGTCGATTGACTATGTCTATCTGAGTGCGAATAGTCACTTCCAAGTACAAATGCCATGTTAGAGACCATTTGAGAACACAAACTAAGGCTCTGTTCATTGTTCCACTTGCTTCTAGTGGAACAGACTCATGGTGAATGAGAATAACATCGTCAGCGAATAACCTAACACGAGTTTATAAATCAAGGACTAAATCATCTCACTGACTAACATTATCAAATGCTTTCTGAAAATCTAGCAGAACACCTCCGAAGATGAGCGAGTACTTTCTTCGAGTACTTTAGATTTTTAAAAATGCTAACAGAAAGCAGAGACCAGTTTTATGTCTATTCGATGCAGTTTTTTCCGTGCTACAAAACTGCATAAAATGCTATGTCCTTTTATGCTTCGATTCAGAGAAATTTAATTCGAAAGCAAGTACAAGGTAGAGATGTGCAGGGCGCCCTTACCTCACCCTACCCTACCCAGGGTAGGGCCAGAGCTTTATCTAAAAAAATATGTCGTCGTTACAACATTGAGGTCGATCGCTAGCGACCGACCTTATTTATTATTCAAGTTATTTTAAACTCTTTATTTTATTGGATGCAAGACATCCATTTTTAGAATTTAGAAACGATCGCTAACATTATGTTGCTACGAAATTGCTACGAAAGAATTTTTATCAATATAATTCATTTATTTAAAAAATATAAAGAAATAATTGTAAATAAAAAGTTCTCAAATTTTCAAACCGTAGGGTATGACAAGGGCTCCGTAAACAGTTATCCTGCACATCTCTACTGCCTTGTGCCTTGTAGTACAAGGCAGGTGGATAAATTTGTTGAGTACTCATCTGAAATCTCTTAACAGACTAAAACTAATATGACCATATTTCTTTGAACAGGAATACAGATTGCTTCGGAACTACTTTTCAACGTAACTTATTTGTCTCCATGAAAGTCATTTGTTTAATAAAATGTCATTCTTCTTTTATTACTAAGTTCTTGACCAATTTTCAACAACCAATTTTTGTTTAACCTTTTTTCTTTAGACCAGTTTTCACTTTCTCTATTTATATCAGAGTTGGAACCGGCCCAGGCTGGTGCCGGTCCGGTGTAAAAGTTTAGACCGGCCGGTCTCCACCGATCTTTTGCCGGTCTAGAAATATTTTCAAACCGGCCGGTGATCGACCGGTTTTAAATTCTTAGCATTTTTCTCTTCTTCGTTCAAGAAAACTGACATGTTCTTCAGACATTAAATTTAAGACAAATGACTTAACATACAATAACCTATAATTAAAATAAGAACAAACCAGACTATTTTCTTCTTCTTTTGTTTCTTAGTCATTCTTTGATAGTGATACGGAAAAGGATTAAATTCCTATCTGGCTATAGCTATTACCGTCATGTTTTCCGTATCACTATCAAAGACTAAGACTGAGAAAGACGACAACAAATTCAACATAAAGACATTTTTCAACAAGTGGACAAATTGTCACTAAACAACGATCACAATTAGATCCTGAATGTGTTGAATCGTTAGTAGTTCTGAAAGAAGCATATTTAAATAATAATTGGCCAAAAAAATAAGAAGTTTTCATTTCTTTTGTTTGTGAATATTTCGCGTTCTGGTTTGATTCTCAGTTTGTTTGGTACTATTTAATCTGTTGCAGATATTGTTGTAAACTGGAATTAGGACAGTGCATAAAAGTGATAACTTCAAATAAACAAGTAACAGATATATAAAAAAGCTAGTGAAAATGACTTTTTCATTAAAAATATTTTGATTTACTGATAAAAGCGTCTAAACCGCCCAGTTTTTTGCCGGTTTTTCACCGTTTCGAAATTTGTTGAAAACCGGCCGGTCTTTTTGCCGTTTTTCACCGATCTAAAAAGATTTTTGGGCCGGCCGGTCACAGGTCGGTCCGGTCTGCTGTTTTGAACCGGCCGCTTATTTTTAGACCGGTTCCAACTCTGATTCATATATACCCTTTTCCATTTATATATTCTAGTATAAAAGTTGTTTTTTCTTTCTGAACCAAACGTTACAACCTCTTTGTTTATGTTTTCTATTCTCTAATAATATTGGAAAACCATTTTCACCTTCTGGTATAATAAATCTTGAACCAACGATGTCAAGAAATTCTTGGCCATCGTCGACTGGCCATCCTAATATTTCTGCAGAATATTCTTCGTTATTCAATAATATTGCTATATAATCTTTCTGCAAGTTGTAAAAGATGTTTAATCCAATTCGTTCATCCTTCACACCTAAGTAGAAAATTTAAAAGATGAAAAGAAGACGTGAGCTAACTTATCTGCTTAATCAGATTGCAATCAGACGTTCTAGATGTTACCATAAAGCATGCATGTATCTTCGCAATCAAAAATCTCAAAAAATCTGAAACCCGCCCACCATAAAAAATACACTTGAGGCTTTAAGTCATGATTACTATCACCAAAAATACAAAATTTTCGGTAAAGTATCACCGAAAATAGTTTGATGATCAGAAGTGACACTATTACTGGGGCACTCTGACTCCAAGTGTGTCCTTTTGATTAAAATGACTCTTTGCTAGAAAATGAGATGAACTCCCTGCTATGCCATTGTAGGTCATTACTTATACTCCAAGGTCCCATCAACAAATTTGGTTAAACGATTTTTGACAACTCTGATTTGGTAAAGAATAGCAATTTTTCGACTTGCAACTATTTTGAAATAATTGTGTCTCTTCAAGGAAGCAAGTCAATGCTTCGAAAATTTTCAGTAGCACATATAGCACTTCCTGCCTTCAATGTTTGCAGCAAATTATTCGAAGTGAACTTGAAAACCGTTAGTTCATGCTGCCATTATTAGTTTAAATGATTTATCTTACCTAGATCTTTCCAGTCATGGTTTATTATTTCAATAATAAAATGTTCCACACGTTTTCGTGCTAACAATTTCTGAGAACTTAATAATACTCCTATCTCAGCACCCTCTGTATCGATTTTAAATATTAATATTTTCTTATACGATCGAATTTGAGCTAATGAATCAATTGATACCGACTGAACTGTTTTATCTTTGACTTGTTGAGTTGTCTGATTTCTCGCACTCCGAGACACGCCCACGGACATGTATCCAACATTACATAAATCGTTGCTTATTTTGAGTTTTCTTCGTTCAAACCAAACAGCATTTTCATATGATTTCCATTGATTAGTAAATTTGTTTATTAATCTTAAACATCAAGAACTTCTAGTAGTACTACTTTGCTACTAGATTATACTCCAGCCTATATGAACTGATCTCCTTTTTAAGATAAGGTAAACTCGTGTTTTACGACTTTCAATCACGTATCTTCCTAACGACAAAAGTTCAGAATCAAAGGTTAATCACATTTGATGTTTCCGGTGGTTGCAAAATAAGTTATACACTTTATACCTCAGATGGACAAAATAGTCTCAAAAGTCTAAATAATGTTATTAGATTTAACTATAAGAAAGCGTTTGCATGAATACCTTGATAAATTATAAAGTTCATGGCATCTAGCTTGTGGATCAAAACTGATTACATTACAGTTAAATGCAGAAACCAATAAAGAATAATAGCCTGCATTCATACCAACGTCCAAAATAACATTATTTTCTCGACATTTGTTATTTTTCAATATGAACAAGAATATAGCATTGATTTCTGGTTCTTTCTCCACAATTCCTTGTTGAACCATTAAAAATTTGATGCTCGGTGAATGTTCGATTGTGGCAATAACAGTTGGTAACTCCTAGCAAAAGCAAAGCAAAACTTATCATACAGTCAATGAGCCAATCACTTACAGAAGACAAATTTGGCTGATGAGTTATAGGTTTTATGAATTTCGCGTTTAAGAGCAGGCATAGAAAGCTTGGGACGATGTCACAGTGTCTGTTTGAGGTCCATCTCAAAAGAAAGCTCATAAAATCAGAGCTATAGGAGGTCGTATTTTGAAAGCAAAAGTATTTTATGTCAAAAATCAGGAACATGTAACAAAAACTCTAACTTTAAAGAAAGTCAGAAGCTAATCCTAAAATCGTGACCTTCTGTGATCAATCAAATCCGGGTATGCACCAGTTCGGGTTTTTAACTGTCAGAACTAGGTCGACCGGACATGGAGTAATCGATTACTTATAGTCCATAAGTTGCAGCTTCGAAAAGCGTTGCTATTGAAAGACATCTCGGTTTTTATCTACGTTTTCTTTAATAGAATTTAAAAGTTCTTTCGAATTCTGTTTACAACAGTTCCTTACAGTTCGAGTTCTGAACAATTTCAGTTCTCGACAGTTCCAGTTATAACTGGAACTGGTGCATACCTAACTAGTGCATTTTCTGATAAGTAACCTCACATTTTAAACGTGTGTTCTTCTTAGCTTTGAGAGAACCTTCCTAGCAACCGCCAAAAGTCTTAATTCAATCGAAGAAAGTTCTTTTACTGCTGAGGAAACTTTATTCTAAAAGTGGTGAAAAAGTTCTTGAAAACAAAATGGCCGATCAACCGCCAGTTTTCAGTTTTTTTAGATTTTCGTCGTCACAACCTCACTGAAAAAAAATAAGGTAATGTTTAGAATCAGCGTCAAAAACTGCATCAGATGATGCGCCTTTGAAAGCTTTTAGAGAAATGAAAAATTTTGTCAAAATTTGCTCGGAAGCTGAACATGAAAAATTGTCCAAACTTCTCATTTCTGTAAAAGTTTCAAAGGCGGATCATCTGATGCAGTTTTCAACGCTGATTACAAATATCACCTTATTTTTGTTTTTCAGTGAGGTTGTGATGACGAAAATTTCAAAAAACTGAAAACTCGTGGTTGGTCGGCCATTTTGTTTTCAATGTTTGGAACTTTTCCACAATTTCTAAACCAAAGTTTTTGCGTTCAGTTTGTGGAAAATTGAATTCTTTATCGCATGTGACCTTCGGATTGTTAGGGAAATTCTGTTTGGAGGGCCGAAAGTGGCGTTTCCTCGAAAGTCTTGATCCTTCAAAATCCCAATTCTCCAATTGTTGTGGGTTTTAAACAGTCACTTTCTACTTCAGAAAAATTAGGAACTATGTGATTTTGTTTACTTTTTATCAGGCTTTTGAATGCGATGTTGCTCGAACAGAACGGATAAGAAATGGCGGAGTTATAATCAAAATATCAGTGGTGACTACTTTCGTAAATTGACGATATTGACGATACATTTTGTAAATTCTATAACTGAGTCAAAAAGTTTTTTTCTATTTTTCGTAACCCTAGATCTGACAGTAGTATCCGAATATGAAATAAAAAGTATCTGTCAATTTTTCAGCCGTGGCTGATCTTTGGCAACGTACTCGATCGATTGGTGAAGTGCTTCTTAAAAGATTCTGTAGGAAGTAGTAAACTCTTTGAGTAGAATACCTTTCACCATCATGCTTTCAACAAATTCAGGCCATTTTGGAAGACACTCGTGTATACCAAAAACGTGTCATATCGATTTTCATCTGTGGATTATAATGAGAGGTTGTCAGAAAATGTTTTTTTAAAGCAGAAAAGAATTTATTGTAAAACTGAGGACGGCGAGTTTCTAGCTTAGTCAGTTACTTATAACTAGGTATGCATCCTCACTGCTTTCTCGATTTCGGTTCCTGGTATTATAAACAAGTGCTATCTTTTACCTGGTTGTGTGGTGGTAATGGTGAAATTTCATCATGGGGAGGAGCCGTTGACAGAATAGGAGTTTCGGCAGGATCCGTTGACAAAATAGGAGTTTTGGGAGGATCCATTGATAAAATAGGAGTTTCGGTAAGATCTATGGGCGAAATAGGATAAACCGTTTCTAATTCCTTGATTGAATAATTTTTAATAAATAAAACAACTACTAATATTAGAAAACAAGGGAGAAATAAAGCTGCTTTTTTAAGCAATTCAATAAATAATCTATTCATTTGCATCAGTCTTTTATAATGCTTAAGAACACTGATATGACTATTTGTCCTCGCATCGAATTGCTTCTTTATGCTATATTGGAGCCGCTGCAATCAGATTACTCAGTTCAAAATGAGATCTTTCTATCTGAACGCATACATCTAAAATAAATACAAAGTCATATGAATAAAATCAAAACTCTTCTTCTAAAATAAGAAACATTTTTAACATTATGATTTTCGAGAAACATCTATACGTTTCCATTGAGTGTTTTATAGTTTCTAGAAAATTATGCCTCCAAGAGAAGGAAAAGCTCCTAGAATGATCTCGTTTTAACAGAGTGACGGTGTCAAAAATCCTACTTAAGAAATATATTTCTATTTTGCGTGCTCAGACAATTGTTGGAATAATAGGCGATTTAGTCTGATGCCTGTTGTAACACCGAATACCTGATGAAAGTTAGGATAGACTTTCACTAACTATTCGTTGTCTTAAATAGCTTAATAGAACATCGATAAGGCATAGATTCTCTCATTCCAGTCAATATACATCGTAGAAAATGTTGCTTAGAAAGCGTGCTTTGATCTATTGTGATTGAAATGGGCATGTATGTAAGAGTCGACGTAGATGAGAAAGTGTCACAGTTGAATGAATACATGTGATAAAGGAAGGATGTTATATTATCACTGACTTTTGATGCTGTTACATTTCTAAATCGCTCAACCGCGTTACTTATGGCCAACGGCTTATCATTCAGCATTTGTACATGACTACAAAAGGATCATCGTGTAAAGACGAGTGTTAACTGACCAGGGCATACAATGAACAGGATTATTAAATATCATCTGTGATCTCATAAAATATCAGCGATTGGTGAAAACGAAATCCAGTTCTGAGTGATGGTGTGAACAAAAGTTAGGATAGTTCCTATGAGGGAACATTTTCATGTGTCCGATCTGTTATATGTATATCTCCTGATCCAAAATTCGCAGGAATCAAGTATATTTTATCTCATGGCAGTCATGTTATATTAATTTATTATGAACTTGATTCGATTGGAGTTCACGAAGATTTACGATCATTTCAGACTGTGAAAACAAACAGAGTCAGTTATTGTTTGCTAGAACATTTAGAGTACTAGTGGTCGTTGAAAGCTTTATCAACCACCCAGTCTCCATGGGTTCTACTGGATCCATGCTTTGGAGGACTTATCTTTGCTACAATCCCGCAATAACAGGAAAATCAACGTTTCTTTTCCGGTAGTTGTCGAAACCTATGCCTAAGAGTCATTGCATGAGAGAAACAACTAGTCATACTCAATCGATGCCTGACTAGTCCTATCTTGTTTAGCATGTGTGAAAACTTATAAATCCAATTTCGAGCCTTTTAGGACTTTTACTTTCTGAGTTCTGGACGGTTTTCTAGAGTCCGCTCGATGGAAAATTCAGCGTCTAAGAAATGAAGAGCAAAAGATGAATATTCTGTTTTTCGGCCAAGACAAATGATGGAAGAGGGATTTTTTCAGCCTATAGAGTGCATTACATGGTCTGTCCGATAATGTGATCAGAAAGTAAAAGTCCTAAAAGACTCGAAATTTGGATTCATAGATTTTCACACATGCTGAGCAAGATATGACCAGTTAGAATTCTTTCAAACTATTTATTTTCAATAGAGATCTTTTTAGTTTTTTAACGGAAAATACTTTTTCCTATATATATATCAACTCTTTGTTCAGCTCTTAAAATGTTTAAAGACAACAAACGCGGTTCTATCGATTTTATTTTTCGGCAGAGGTCTGATCCTCAATTACGATATCTTCATTTTCACCATGCACGAACGAATACTATTGAGTAAAGTTAAAATTGTTTAGAAGTATTTCATCAACTGCTACTGAATATCTCTCGATTCGAAAAGGTATTCATATCCGACAGTCTACGATCATTAGATAAACGAAAAATAAGGCAGATTACGCAAACCCAAATCAATCGTCGTCAAATATTGTAACGAATATATTCACGTATTCGTCAGCTACTGGGGACGATTGGAGCGGAACATTGAAAACATCTCGTAACAAAAAAAGGCACAAAAAAACCAAGGGCTTGTAAATACAGTGCCACCACGCGGAAAAGAGAACAACCGCGAGAAGAGAGTATAATCCGTTAGAGAGGATAGAAATCTGATCGACTACATTCAACGATGAAAGTTTATATCGTGCATCCAAATAGGGGCTGAAGTCTGTGCAGATCTAATCGCTGTCTGGTCGAAACCTAGTGAGTTATAGGTTATGAAAAAATAACCAAGCCTCATATTTTAGCACAACCAACAGCCAGGGATGAAAAAACATCTCCACCAGTACTATCACAACATCAGTCTCCTCCATCAACACTTCAATCTACACCTGATCTTGTATCAAACTTTGGTGAAGAGGCAACGGATAGCTGCATTATTAATACAACAGATCTATTAACCGTAACAACAACAAAGGCTTATGATGATAATGCATTACAAACAATTCGAGATACTATCCTCAGTACAAATACAAATAATGAAGATTCTTTATTTGATCAAACGTTTTCCAATCTTGGTGATGATAGTTCACGACATGCGGTTATTCGAAAACGATCAGCTGGTTCTTATTTATTGAATGCACAAAAACAAATCATCACACGTAACACTCATATAAAAAATTTGTCGGATAATTGTAAAATTGGTGATTATTTTGGTTTACAAAGCGATAAGGTTGATCGAATAAATATTGACGCCAAAATATTGCCGTGTGTTCTTATTGAAAAGAAGACGATATCTAAATAAAAACAGTGCTATGTTTAGAACAGTGCGTAAAAGCGAGAGAAAGGATAAATGGCTGTTTTCTCCGTTATCACTCTATTAACAAAGAATGAACAGAGAGCTATTTCTCTTACATTACAACGACTGTCGTGGTTGATATGAGTGTTCAAGTATAATCGATTAATTGGCAATAATTATGAGCGAAAATATTTCCCAAATATAGCTTTAACTGCACACTTGCTTCTTGATCACGTATATAAAAGTCTCTTGTAGCTATAGGATATTCATGTCGTGGGCGCTGAACTAGCTGCAAGCACAGTGAAAGTCTTTTTCATCTGATTCTCTCGTTACATAAAGTAAAAAGACACACAGAAAGAGAAAACGAAATTAAGTGGTAGTTGAATCTCCCGTTTTCGATTACTAACAGTGAATCTATTTCAGTAAAGCAAGGAAACGGCGATGGAGGGAAATTTCTTTCTCCTTGATCACAAGTTATGGCTCTGCTTAAAAATCTTTCTTTTTTTCGGCTCACTCCGCGTCACAGTCACCTGCTTCGTGGAAGCATAAGTTTTTGTATTAACTTGAACACATTATAATTTTCATTTAAAAAAGGGCACTTAGGATTAAATATAAAGCAAAGCGACTCACGTTAACCGATATTGTATAAGTCAAGGGTCACAGGCGCCCAGTAGTTTACGATGTGCGTGCAATCTCAGCATATGCTTCTGCTAACTAGCACGAGTCCTCTACGTTCCAATAATTTCCATCCATAATTTCGTTAATTCGTTCCAACACCTTCATTTCTTTTTTCCCTACTGCTAATGTCCAAAATTGTCGTATGACTGCTGCGTGTGATCCTTTTAGCGTAGTTAATTCCGTGTCAGGACACGTAGCTCTACCATCACTCATGATTTAACTGCATATTTTGAATCTGCTGTTTTGGAACGGGCAATACAATCGTTTACTTTTTCAAAGGCACTGCGGAAGTTTGTATTTCCACCTTTAAATTCTATTCTATCAACGTTAACGTCTTTTATTTCTTCATCAAAACATTCAAGTTCAGTACGATGGGTAAATTTAATTATTGTAATACGGTCTTTTGTGCCGAGTTCGGAACGACGTTGAAGAAATTCTTTAACTGCTGCTATCAAATGGCCCCACGGTTGTCCATCCACTGATCCAGAGCCGTCGAGAAGTAGAATATAGTGGTATGACTCAGGTGTATTGATCATCTGAGTGTTGTAGGTTACAAAATTCATCCCATATTTGCCACATAAATCCCGATCAATTTTTGTCCAAATCGTAAGAAATTTTTCGTGTAGTCGATCTAAGTCCTGATCGTTGAGTAACGATTCGAAAACCCAATCAGGATGTTGCAATTTAAATTGAGACCACGTATATCGAAACGGACCAACGATAATTGTTTGATCGTCTGTTATTTGTTCACACATAAATAATGAAGCTTCGTCTGTTTTTTCGAATTTGTATCCGTTCATTGCTCGAAGTGCATGAACAGTCGTCCGCAAACGACAGAGTCATCCACAATTGGAGCCACGAATTTTATCTCTTAATCGTGCATATGTATCCTGCGTATCAATTGCACTAAAATCACATCTATAAGCACCGAATTCTTTTATTATTTGCGGCTTTTCGTCTAATATGCCCTGTAAAAATGCAGCAAGATTTTCAACTGAACTGCTGTCGTAGACTGTTAGCATAGACTTTGTTATGGCAATTAGCAGAAGGCTTGGTTTTTGCTGTTGTGCTAACGTATCAAAAGACTGATGTGCCTCTTTAATTAGATTGTATCTGTGATTATAACATGTGTACAGCTTAGGAATTGGTTGTTCAGAAAGATAATCGCGCAAGAGCATAGCCATACAACGACGTTTGTTGTTGAGATTTTGTTTAACACTTAATAAATTGTTTTCAGCAGGCTGAAATATATCGTCCACGAATTTCGCTGCTTTACCCTTGTGCTTGAGAGTGTTATGCATTGCTGTTAATGGAAAAAAAAAAAATAGACTGTAAGGGAAGACGAATGAGTGTGAAAGTTGATTTCCCATTAACACATATTAGCAGCTGTAATTTTATTGCTTAAGTTTCAGCGCTTAATGCCCTATCAGGATTTGAGGCATTGTTATCATTCTCTCTCTCTTGGATAAAACTAAATTAGCACAAAGCGATGTGTTTTCTAAGCACTCTGGTCAATTTTAGATATGTTTACCTTTTTAGAGTTTGATTTGTAGTGATTTGTAGTGATTTTCGAAAGCTCCGTTTTCAGGAAAAGTATGTATCTGAAATTCGACCTAGGTGAGGATCGATGCACGGCTCTAATCCAGTTCTAAAGTGCGGCTAGATCCTCAGTTTAGAACCGGTAGAACTTATGACACCGTACTTTGAGATCTAAAATCAGAAAACGGTACATGCACACTGACCTTGTATACACTGGAAGAAATTTTCCACTGTGTCAGAATAATTTGTCTTCAACTGTTGTAAGCTTTGGTTTATTGATTTTAGAATACCCGTCCACATTTCATTAAAAAAATTCTTCAATAATTTTTGTTGGATTTTCAATGTAATCCAAATGCCATTGTGTTTCAGCTGTAAATAATTTTCCATCACAACAGTCTTGAATCCATTTACGATTTAAATTTTCATATTGTCGTAATCCACTGTTAATACTCTTTTGACCTTCATCAGATAAACTCTTCATAGCATACTCTCTAACATGTTTACACAAACTAACTGCACACTTAAAGTCGTCAATGGTATTTGGAACAACCATATTTATGAAGTAAAGTCGTAAATCATCTTTCTTATCACTTAATGTTGATATTTGTTGTAAGAAATGGTTCTGCTGCTCGTTGTAATAATACTTTGTTAAGAGAACAACAGTACATGTATGAAATATTGATTTTAATGGCTTGTTCAGTGATAAACAACAGGGCCTTAATTCTAAATTAACATCTTTGATTAAAGTGTTGATAAGTCCAACTATCTTTTGTATAAGATCCGTTCGAACTTGACGTGTTTCATTTGGATTAGTTCCACGAGTGACGTCAACAATTGATTGAATAACTTTATTCATAAGTTTCGATGCTTGTAAGTACAAATGATCATCTTGATCAACAACATACTTCTTTTTAAGATTTCTCCCTTCAGAAATTATTTCGTGGCGTATTCTATGCAGATATTGTTCAATTAATTTGTTGTTTGGTTCTGAGTTAGACTTATCCTCTTTGCTCGACCTGAAAGGTGCGGTGATCGCACCATAAACACGTTTCGGTATGCTTTTCTGTGGACGAGGGATTCGAGTGTCACACATTGACGAAATCTCCTTGAAACACTGTTGCAATTGTATTTTGTGTAAATAGACCACCCTTTCGATAGCGTCCGGAGAATATGGGTTTACTGTATCATAGATAAACGTCTGTTGTTCTACTAGTGGTTGCTCATAAGCTAATTGAGTGAAATATGATTGTAAATCTTCAAGAATGAAGTGTTCGTTTATTTGTGCTTCTTTGTTACTGACCTGTTGTAGCCAGCTTAAATGCTTCAAGATATGATTTTGATAATTTGGTAAGCAATCTTTTTCATAAATATTGTAGTTGGAGTATATATGTTTCAGAGCTAATTTAACACGTTCAGACGAATCAAAATTTGTATTGATTTTGTTGAGAATATTATCGAACATATTGCCAAAATCTGCAGAAGCTGTCTATTCAGACATTACTATGCCTTTGGCTCCGATTTCTTCAATTAATTGTTTCAATGCTCCTTCTCCATTTTGAACTAATAGTTGAACTTGTGCTCTTTCACTCACCATTTTACACGATGTTCGCAAAGCATTGAACATTTCGATTATTTGTACTCGTAAAAATTGTCGACTACGAATTCGTATTGTATCAGATGTTTTCAATAGTTTTAAACGATTTTCAAGATCTTCATTTAGATCTTTTTGTTTCTTCTCCATCTCTGGTAATATGAGTTCTTCAATTTCACGTTCATTCTTATTGGCAGATACAGCAGTGAGTTGCTCACGATATGTGGAAGCAAATTCTTCAATTAATTTAGCACGTATGTATTCACGCACTTTATTGTCTTGTCGACGTTCATTGATATCACGGTAGTATGTTAGATCCGCAAATTTTCGCAGTGTATCAAAGATTGTAATGGATGACTTTAACCATTGTGATGGTCCGGTGAACTGATCTGATGTTCTCGGTAGGCATTTCAGTGCTGAATTAATAATATCTCCACATAAGAGTTGTACCAGTTCAATAAAATCCGGCTCTGCTTTACTCAAACACGGTGAACTGGTATCATTCAATAGGCCACGCTCCTTCTTAAATGCATTTGGTAAAGTATGAAATGTCTCTTGTCTGATATGAATCATTCCACTCAAATCAAAACTTTTTAAATCTGAAGTAATTTTTTCGATAGCCGCTTGATGATTTTGTATATTCAAGTCAGCTTTTTGATTCAATACGAAGTGTACAATTGGTTCCGGAACGCGATTGACGTTCATTTGCTTGAGAGAGTCGGCACAGAGTGTGAGCATTGTCTTCAAAGATTCATTCACTTCTCCGATCATGTTAACAACGATCAAGTGTGATACTGCTAAACAAAATAACACCAATCGACGATCAAATTCTTTGTCTTCTCTTTCTACACCCAATAAACCTTCTGTGTCAATCAAAAGAATATAATCGAAATCTTTTCTATTTGATTTTACAAATGAACCATAGATACCGCGAGTACACCGACCATCTCGAACATCAAAGAAAGTTCCAAACATGTAGTTAAGCAAGGTACTCTTGCCTGAATTCTGTGGACCAATAACACTGACGACTAAAATTTTCTTGTTACCAAAGATAGATAAAACATTGGAGAGAAATTGATGATGAAAATAAAAATTATCATCGTCAATGGTTTCAAACGGAAAGCCAGCAACCATCGATTCATAGTATCGTTGAACAATCAGCCGCCAAACTTCAGGCACTTGATACGTGCCACAAACAATAGCATTTCGCCATAGTAGTTCTAATGATAAGTTCTTCTGTATTGGCAGTTGCTTTGCCATTTCGCCAGTGGAAACAAATCGATTGCGTTGTTCTTTTAGTTCACTTGCTAATAAATTTAGTGACATAAGTGTAAGTGTATTTGGTGCTCTTAATATTTGATAAAATAAATCGAAAATAATACCGCTATCTGTTTTGCCTTGGTTTTGTTTTCGCTCATCAATATGCTGCTGTACTTCATAGATTTTACTGTCAACTTCACCGTAGAAGTTCAGTTTTGATAGTTCTTGCTTTGATTTACAGAGTTTTTCAAAATTAGCATACTCTGGAACATATTCCTCAACTTTGATTGCACTTTCAGCTAGTTGCATTAGTTTATGTTGTAACGGCAGAACGGTGTCAGTAATTTTCGCTAAATACTGTTTATAGGCAACGTCAATAATCTATTTCAATGCTACTTTCAAATAATCTCGCTCATACGTAATTGTGCTAGATGCACTATTGAATATAACATCGCGTAACGATCTAATTGAATGTTTACTCTGTTTATTATTTTGATCGGCAACATGCGTAAGTGTAAACGTTTCAATTAATGTCTTGGAGAAATGTGTCGTTAAAAATTTAGTACAGATTTCATTAAGATGCCGCTGCACAGTGGGCAACTAAGCGGACATTAGGCCAAAAAGTCGATTTTATCTATCGTGAAATACAAATAGTGCAAAATGTAGCTCTTGAAATTCTTTATCGAATGGTGTATAAACGTCTATTGTGAAACTGAAATGTTCAAGGAGAAAAACACCTTACAAAAAACACGAGTATTAAAGACATCTATACGAAAAC